CATCGAAGCCAAAGAGTTGACTAATAAAGACATCATTGAGAAGTCTGATCCTTTTGTTGAGTTATTTATACGTTCACTACGCGATAGGACAAAGACTAGCAAAGTTATTGTAAGAGAACTTCCATCTATTATTGTCCTTCTTAATTTATTTATCTCCTGATGAGGAATGTATAACGCCAGATTTTGTTTCCTTTGTTAAGGATAACTGTTTAAATCCGATCTGGAATGAGCACTTTGAGTTCATAGTTGAAGACATATCCACTCAACATTTAACAATTAGAGTTTATGATGATGAAGGGATTCAGGCTGCTGAATTCATTGGTTGTGCTCGAATAGATTTGAAAGACCTTGAACCCGGTAAAGTGAAGGATGTGTGGCTGAAATTGCTCTAGGATCTGGATATACAACGGGACAACAAAAACAGAGGATAGGTAAGAATATGTTGATATGTATGTCTGGTGTAATTTCGATTTGTGAATATGTATGATAGGCCGATAAACCGCCCGATAAGAGCTAAACTGATACCAATCCGCCCGATATCTTATCGGGTGGCTAACGGATTAGTGCATTTAAAAGCCGATAACCGTTAAGCCAAACCGTTAAGAGTAATTAACCGCCCAATCCGCCCGATATCTTATCGGGTGGCTAACGGATTAGTGCATTTAAAAGCCGATAACCGTTAAGCCAAACCGTTAAGAGTAATTAACCGCCCAATCCGCCCGATAAGCAGCCCTAGTTGCTAGGGTTAAAAATAGGGGGGTTGTTCTCTTCTTCTGAAGGGAATTAGGGTGTTTACGGTTTTTGACAAAGAGGGGAAGATGAAACGACGTAGCTTTGGTGTCCAGCTACGTCGTTTTGGGTAATGAAGAAGGTGGAAGCTGGACCTGGTATTGGACTGAGGGATTTGGGTATTGGCCTTGGGCGGATTATGGGCAACTGGGTCATTTAGAAATGGCCCAATCGGTTTAAAAGCTGAAGATGACCTCTTTTCGTTTCTTTCTTTCTTTTCTTTGAATTTTCAAATTCTAAACAAATTAATTAAAATTCTAAACAAACTAAATAAAATCCTAAATTGATTCTAACTTAACCTATTTTTGTAAACTTAACCTTACTTATTTTCTATTATCTTAACACTAATTAATTTAAAACTAAAAGCTAAAATGTAGACATGACTATTGTATTTTGTAATTTTCGTTTAATAATACAACTAATAAACGTAATTAAATCCTAAAAATGCAAGTAAAAACCTAAAATGCTATGCAATGAAAATTTGGACATTTTTGTGGTATTTTTCAGAATTTCTGAAATATTAAATATGTACAAAATGCGACTAAATGCAAACAAACAATTTAAAGGGGAATTCCTAAAATTCTATAAAATCAAAAAAAAATCTATTTTTATGGATTTTGTAGGAGTATTTTCATCGGGCAAAAATTAAGTGCTCACATTAGATACACTCTGAAAAGATTAAATGTGTATGGTGATTTTCGTCTGCAAAAAGTGTGTAATAGGGATTTGGTCCAATCTTTTCTGGTATGCCCACACATCCATCGCAACATTCTCATTTCTACTACTTTCATCTTCTGGGCATGAGAGGTTATATGATAAAGTATGTGTATAAAATAAACATGTCTTGCATTTAGTAATAAATTTTTACCCTCAACGAGAATGTTGAGTCGCTATCGCACGAACTGCTGATACTTACCTGCACTAAAATATTGGAGATTCACTGTAAAACTTGCCTTAGAAAAATCTTACACTAGAATAGAGGGAAATATTAGGGCCTATATATAGCACGAGTTCTGTTAATAAACTTACTGGACTAAAAAGGGCAGCTTGGTGAACAAGGTATCCGGCTTTCACACAGATTCCGGAAAAAACACATCTCAAAAAATGTGATGTAGATAGCCCACCTTAATACAGGCATATCACTATATTGGTTTAACGGGGCAAAAGTTTCTAGCTTCCATCTTTAAAACTATGGATCACAACCTTCCAACGATGTCGAACCTCACAGATCGATAATGATGTAAACACCAAACATTGGATAGATTCCAAGCTTGTCAATCAAGAGGAAAAAAGTACGATTCCCTCTATTCAACTAACTGTCCTAAATTTAGCCACAAGGTCACAATTATAAAATGTGCAGTCAAATTACTGTTAGCATATACCATTTCGACGGATAAAGTTTTAAAATAATTGAAAATTCTTTTTTCTTTAAAAAAAAGTCATTATTAGTTAAAGTTTTCTTAAAAAGCTTTTTTTTTCCCTCAAAATTATATGGGTGAAGAAGTTCTTTGCCGCGCTTCTCCAATCAACTATCTTTTGAAGCTAAACATGACACACAAAACTTCAAAATTTACTGTCTATACTCTATACACACCATGTTTCGCGCAAACTTCTTTTTCTTCATGTTTTTAAATACAAAGCTTATATAAAAAATTTCAATATGTGATCTCTTGCAACCGGAGTCAATTAACGTATTTGATAATATTTCTAAACTTGAAAACCACCCAATATTGTTTTCTCAATTTTAAAAACTTAGATGATATATATGACCCTCAAAATTAATCAATTTAACATGAAATTCACAACAACGGAAAATTTTAGTAGTTCAGTTGGTTAGCTACTTGTGAATTTATAGCTTCTACCTGTGTTCTAGCTTGTTGGAGAGCTAGATTTGCCTCAATTTTTTGCCTCAATTTTTTGCCTCCTTACTTCACCTTTTTCACATTAATTAGCTTCGTTGTTTCAAGAGTTTCTGAGCTTCTTGTGGATCAATATACTATTTTTCTCTGCATTATTTACTAAAATATTGATCTCAGTTTTGCCGATTCTAGAAAATCACCCATCAGATCGCCATCGTTAACCATTGGTCGTTAAGGCGTATTCTCAAAATTCCTATATCTGCGACTATAGTAAAAGGAACTTTTATTTTGTGGGTGAGGGTTTCATTCCCTACCGTGTAATCATCTCTCTTATTTTCCTCTTAAAAAAGAGAGGCTAAAATGGAACCAATAACCATTAAGGGGTTGTTTGATATGATGGATAAACAAAAATAATTATGGGATAAAAATTTAGTACGCCCTAATCCCTTGGTTGGTGACTAATCCTGGGATAACTTATTCAGGATTAAAAATAATATCGAGATAACTTATACCTTACGGAGTGTGAAATAGTAATCCTAAGATAAGTTATCCCATGATAAAGCAGTAAAATTGACAAACTCAGGATTAATACAATATACCAAACAATCAGTAAGAAATAATATCCGGATAAGTAATCCCGGCATAACTATTCCCGTCATAACTAATCTCATCATAACTTGTCTTCAAACCAAACGATCCCAAAAGATTGTAGCAGAATGGAAGGATCCCTTTACCCCTTACTCAGAGATCCCGAGTTTAAGCTTTCGGAATAAACAAATTCTCAAAATTCTAAATTAGTCCGGATTTCAAAGTGGATACTTAACATAGGGTGGGAAGCAAAAAAAAAAAATGGAACCAAGAGAACGACCAACATTCCAGGGAAAAATAATAAAAAGAAGAAAAAAAGTACGTAGTATTTTATTATTCATGGTGGCGTTAGAATTGGGGTCCCTTTGCACAAGGTTCCAAAGGCCTTTTGAGCTCCTATAAATACCCTGACACCCTCCCTTGTATTTTCCATCAAAGAACCAGCCCAAACAAAAACAAAATACCAATTCCATCATCTTCATAAAATTCCCTTTCTTTATTTTCCTCATTTTGTCTTTAATTTACTTCAAGATGTCAGCACAATGTGTTAACTTCAACTTGTCTTTAAAGATGGAAGAAGCAGTAACAACAGATAAACAAGGAATAATGTCAATTCTTGGATCAGACACTGATCAAAGAAGCATTAAAGCTGCAGCTTCTATTAGAAGAACTCTTTCAGCTGATATGTCATCCAAGAAATGGCTTTCTAAAAATGGTTTTTTCTCTTCAATGAAGAAAATTGCTTCCTCTGAAGAGCTAGTTGCTCTTTCCTCTGCTGCTCATAATTGTGATTCTTCTTCTTCAGATGGAGAACATGATCATGACGAACAACTCAACAAAGATCAGCCAATTACAAAATTTGATTGGAGTTCAATTCTATCTTCAAAAAATGAAGAAGCTGACTCATCTAAGATTCCATCACCTTATATTCATCCTCTTGTTAAAAGATCAGGCAGTTCTTTGAGTAAGAAAAGTCTTGAAATTTGTACTGAGAGTCTTGGATCAGAGACTGGCTCTGATTGCTTTTCCTCTTCCCCTCCTAAAAATGGAGACTTAGAAAATAACAAAGATGATCAACAACAACAACAACAACATTCCTCTGTCTCACAATCTTTTGAGGATATTCCAGTTGTAAAATATAACTATAGGAAAAACCTATCTTCTCCTAGATCTTTTCCTCCTCCTCTTCCTTCTGTTCACATGCAATCATCCAGACAAAATGGTAGACTGATTCTTGAAGCAGTTTCTGTTCCAACTATGAACTATTTCCATGCCCAACGTGTTGATGGCCGCCTTCGTCTCACCTACATCAATCAAAATGATTCTGCAGCAGATCAGCCAGAGCTAGAAATGGCGGATATTGATGATCAAGTTGAAGAGTTTGAGCAAGTGTTTGACAATATTAGTGTGATGGAAAAAAGTTCAAGATTGTCAAATGAGGTGATAAATGTGAACAAATCATCAGCCCTGATGATGTTAGAGAAAAAAAATCAACTAACGTGGTCTAAATGTGTTAGTTTCAGCGTGACACCTGGTTATTTCGATCTTAACAACAAGTTCAACAACTCACTAAACTCGATGATGAAACATGAGGTGAAAGATAGTATTTTTAGAGAATGCTACACTTGTCCTTCAACGATTAATCAGTCACCACCACCACCGGCAGCTGCAGTCTCTTTAAATGCATACGATTACTTTTGGAGGAAGAAGCCAACAGTGGCAAACATTGTGAATAATTCCACTACTGCAGACCAATGCAGCAAGAACAACTACTATAAGCAATTTGTAGCAGTAGCAGCAGCCAATGGTACTGATCTCAAAGCCAGTGGTACCACAAAGATAGCAGCATATGAGCAGCAGCAGAACTTGGTGCTAATTAGAGGGAACAAGACATCTATGAACAATTTGGTGCCTTTGTTGAGAAGTTGCAAAGAGCCAAAGAGATCACTAATAATTTGGGAGCCTTACTGCATTGCCACCTCCTAATCATCATCATCATCATCATCATTAACTCAAAGTAATAATCAAAATATTTGATTAGATCCATATACAAATAAATATATTTAATTTACAAAAATGTAATATGGTATCATTACAAATATGATTTTCCTCTCTTAGTTTTTACTCTTTTGTCAAAAATGAGTTTTGTATAGCCAAATAAAGAAGAGAGAGATCAAGAAAGATTTCAATGGAGGTCAATAACAACCATTTTTATCTTATTTATTATGAGTGTTTTTTTCTCCTTTTCTCTTTGAATTGATGATGTTGTTTTTTTTGTTTCTCATTCGATATTCATATTAGGGGCCGATTAAATTTGGATTCGAATGAGAAAATTTCATATTAGGAGGTAAAATATTCTCTAACAAAAATTACTTTATATCTATAACTCGAATATGAGATATTTGATTAAGAATGAAGGAACAATTATCAAAGTTAATATATGTTGTTGTTAATAGCAGTAGTTATAGTGTATAGCTAGACAGACAAAATCTTTTTAGCCAACTTTGACCTGGTGGAGTGTCATGTCTCTGTCTGTCTGTCCCCGCATCAGTTGGATTCTCTTGTCTTTCACTATCTCTTTTTTCTTCTTCTTTTGCTTGTTCCAACCAAGCCTAAATTAAGTGGTATTGCTTTATAGGCAGACAATGGGCATCCAGGTTTCCCTTTGGGAAGTTTCTGTGAACCTGAGTGCGCTGTGCTATAATTTTAAATTATGCTATATTTCAAAATTTTATTCAAAATAAATAAATAAACGTATGAAACATAATATAAATAATGTTGAATGACTTTGACTTCTCTAGACTGACAGCACGTGGATATTTTACATAATCATATTAAGTTATTTATAACAAAAATATTTTTAAAGTAAGTCTAATATCTTAACTTCTAAAAAAATAAAGTAACCTATTGTGAAAAGGTTAAAATATATTCATAGTTTAATAAAAAAAATTACTTTATCAGTATATTAAGTTGTATATGTCTTTAAAAGATAGACGAGTTGTTCAAGCAAAAGTTATTCTGTTTAACTAACTAGGCACACTATCTATATCTACATCTATATCTATATTATTATAAAAGCATGAATAAAATATTGGATTACAAAAATAACTTGTTAATATTAAGCATAATAACTCATAATAAAAGGATATAATCGGAATTCTAGACATTAGCCTTGTAATCCTATTACTTTTAGGATATACTTCTTAAAAAATTCCTATTACTAATTTAATTTTTAAAAAAAAATATATTATATTGTCCAAATCTATTTAAAAACAGGAGAGCTCATATATGATTATAAAAACACGAATATAATATTGATAAATCAAAATATCTAAAATATTAAACAGAGAACTCATAAGGAAATGACATAGCTATAATAACTTATTTTTTGGACTGCAATAACTTCTCTGTTAATTTTTTTAATATATAAAATTTTAAAATTAATGCAATCTTGTCTATTGAACTCTTATTAAAAATATGTAGGAAGGTTTAATAAAATCAATTTCATAAGAATCCTCCATATTGGTAATACATTACCACTCGATAATATTCAATACCAAAAAAAAAATTAATGCTAAACGGAATACATAAAGTATTGAAATTGAGAAAATATTCCCATGATAATATATTAATATATTATATTTGAACTGCTTTCCTACTCAAATAATATTTTTTTATTATTAATTTTTTGTTTAATATAGAACAATATACCCAATTATTAAAGAACAGCTAAATTTTTTTTAAGAATATAAATGTGTGAGAAAAGAAAGAAAAACGTTGGTAAGAGCCAATACCATTAATAATTTTGCAAACATAAATATCAAAAAGTGAAATGTTATCGATCTTTTTACTCTTTAAAAATAAAATTTATGGTAGATAAAATTATAATCATGGTTAAATATTCAGAAAATGAGATGAACTAATATTAAGAATCTAAATCAACAAAAAATAAATTATATTTTATGTTAAAACCAAATAATCAAATTTTTCCATTAATTATTTAGCAAGAGAATCCAATTAAATTATTTTTTAAATTCATCATATGAGTAAAATTATTTTTCAATTAAAAACATCTTAGGGAACATAAATATATTTCATAAATAGAGTGTTAGAGATTTTAAAAAAATAGATCACAAAGTAAAAAAGATTAGTATAATATTAAGAAGGTCATACAAGTGTTTGAAAAAGAACAATCAAAGCTAAATCCTGAACAAGAATAAGCTTTCAAGACTATATTATAAAAAATCGAATCTGGTATAGTGGGATTATCCTTTGTATATGCCTCCGGCGAAATCAAAAAATATTTCTATGTCATGCATTACTTGCAAATATCCAATCAAGGGGCATGATATTGTTAGCAATAAGAACAAGTGGTGTACCAACAACGATTTTATTATGAGGTCGTACAACCCATTTTAAATTTGATATACTTCTTCAAATAACTGAAATAACCATCATAAATATATCAAATCAGAGCAATAGTGCTAAATTTATAAGGAAAGCAAAAGTGATAATATGGGATGAATCGCTTTTGGCTAAGCGTCAAACGATCGAAACAATCGCCTAAAGTTTTAGAGATATGTTGGATATCGATGAATCGTTTGGTGAAAAAGTAATAGTTTGGGAGGTGATTTCTGTCAAGTACAATTAGTAGTTCCAAAATTGACCAAAGCAGAAACTGTAAAAGCTAGCTTGCCAAAATTATACTTATGACCTCAAATAAAAAATATTCAAATGACAAGAAATACTATAAAAGTAAGAACATATCCAACTTCAGTGACTTCTTGCTTCGTGTCGGAAACGAATAAGAGCATCGAGTAAAAGATGATTTGGTTTTTCTAGAATACTTGGTTATCAACCCCAATATTTACATCATTAGACTAAAACATAATTTATGGAAATTACATGGTAGAAATTAAAGAGCTATCTTAGCTAGCAAAAATTGAATATATTGATCAACTAAATAAAATGTTGATTGCTAAGTTTTATGGTAAAAATAAAATATTTTACAGTTTTGACTCAACTGAAGATGATACCAACAATAACTATTAAGAAGAATACTTAAATACTTTCATACCAAATGGCCTTCTACCGTACAAGTTTGTTGTCAAGTTCATTATTTTTTACCTATGTTAGTATCGCCATATATATATATAATAGACTAAGTTAAAATTGATCTTCTATTGCATATAGGTTAATTTTGAAGAAAAATATGTATGTCATGCTACTGAAAATATAGATCCGCTGAATAGCTTATGTAATAATACACATATGGTATATAGAAGTTTTGACAATAACGTCATACATGCAGAACTTATGATACTATTCAATATGCTTCTAAGTATGTGTTTATCCCCAAATTCAACTTTTGTCTTCCGAAACTAAAGAATATCCTTTTAAGTTTGTATGAAAATAATTTTAAGTATGTTTATATTTTGTAATTATAATAAATAAAGCACAAGGACAAACATCCTAAATATTAAATTGTATTTACCACAATATATTTTCTTACGAATAACTATATGTTGCACTTTCAAGAGAGATATCAATATCGACAATAATAGTTCTGGTATAGCATAGTAACCAAAGCATTAGAAGGAAACATATACAAAAAAAACATTGTCTATATAGAAGTATTCGATAAGATACCATCACATTAGATACCTTTAAACTACAATACATAATTATCTACGTAATATGACTAAAATTGATTATTTATATATGTTATTATGATATCCTTTAATTTTGAATTCACGTATTATGCTAATGTAATAATATTTTTCAGCATTTAGATGATTATTGTAATATTATATATAAATTTTCTCTCATTAATTAAATTTATTATTCTTTCATATAAATAAAATTTTAAATCATCATATGTTATTATTAACGTGCAACGCACGTTTATAGATACTAGTGTTATTATAAAAGCACAAATATTAAACGATAAATATTGAACGACTAAAATATTGATAAACTTTTATACCCTTTGAAAAGAGAATTAAGCTCCATTCTATATATGTTGGATAAAATTGTGACCTCTATTAGCATTTTAATACTAGATGAACTAATATTTAAGATTTTGAAGTTGGCTAAGAATTCGTTACGTCTCCTACCAAGACAACATTTTTGAGTTTCAATAATAAATACCTAACTTAGTTTAGAAAAACTATTATCATTAAGTTTTCTGTCGTATATCAACTAAATTACTTATTGATTGGAGATATGCCTCATGTTCCGTTTAGAATTTAAGTGCACCAATTCTATTTGAATTGCAATTGGAAAATATTTGGTTTGTAGTGACATTGTAACTCTTCCAACTTGCTTCGGTGCTCCAATATTTCTATAAAGAGACTCTTTTCAAGGATTACAAGCCATGAAATTTAAGTACCTCATTTTTGAATTGATAATGATACTTAACCGTTGATCCTAGGAGATAAACTTCATATATTTTTTAAACCTACAACCATATTCTTATAGCGTCAGATTTGAAATTTTTTAGTTCGTTGTTTCATAATTGTTTTATGTGTTCTAATAAAATATTACTATTAAACCATCAAAACAAATATTATTTCCCCTACATCTCTTTTTTCTTTTGGTTGCTTCTTATTTGCTTTATATGTGCGTCACGATTAATCATTCAAAATAAATTTCAGAAAAAATCTTGTTGATAAGTACTTTCACTTGCCCAATCAAGATTTATATTTCAAATGTTCCAATTTTACCTTTGTTCGTTCAATTTCATTAGTTGTCATACCAGTCTATCACTTTTTTTTGGTCTAAATCCTCGTATGAATTTTTATAAGAAGAAGATAAAACGTACTATTGCTTTAGGTACATATTCTCTACCAATTATCGTGGGGGACATCGTGCACGTTTGTAGAGACTAGTTAAAAAAAAAGACGATTGATAAATAAATAAAATATGTATAACATGCCAAGAGTACCTTATCGCATGTAATCTTAAACATCTCATGACTTTTTTAT